TTCATGCCCCACTCGATCGACGCGCCGCCGCCTTGGAGAACCCTTCCAGAGGACTCGCAAGACCAAGAGGGTGGAGTCCAAGAATGGTGGCGATTGACCGGCCAAAATTCACGTTGGCGGGGGATGGCTACAAGCCCGCGCGCGCGCGCGGGCGAGACCTCCAGGAGGGAGGTGTGTGGCAGAAGAGTTGTAGGATGGAACCAACAGGAGCGCAATGTCCCACAGTGCCAAATGGAGAGGGTGAGGGACAGGCGCCAGGGAGCTTCAGTCGGTTTCGCTGTGCCGGTCGCGAGTGTTTGTTCGCGAGCGCGACCTGCGCCGGGCCCGGGGCGTGGGGGAGACGCCATCATGGCGGCAGCGGAGGTGGAAGGAGTAAAAGATCAACCAACGAGCATGGACGCTACGAAGGGCCGAGGAAGCGTTGGAGCAGGCGAACATGCAAAGGGCTTCGCCGACTTAGACACAAAGTTCGTCCTGTTGTGTTTGTTCAGCGGGCCAACGGACACGCTGGCTGAAAGCTTGGAACGGGAATGCGACAAACACCACGTGGCCCGCGAGCTGGATTTGGCGGCTCCCAGAGGCGTCATCGAAGGGGATGTGGCCGGACACTTTGAGACTACCTGCACGGAGGCTTTCCGCGCGGGGCCTTTTGACGGGCCCACTGGAATCCAGAAGAAGGGGCAGCGCCCATGCGTTCGGGCAAGGAGATCAGCTGCCGGCAGGGGCACGCTCATGGCCAGCCAGACGTCGCACTTGATGAAGAAACAGTGAGGTGGACTCGCGCAAAGCTAGAGGCGTGGACGCTCCCCGAGATAGAGGGACAGGCCGTCTGCGCACGCCAGCAGGGCAAAGGTCAGGTGGTTCAAGGGCTGGTAGGCTGGAGGGCTTGAGCTCACTATCAAAGGTTTGCAGGTTGAGAGCCTTGTGTCGAAGGAGAAGACGGAGCCGGTGGGGGCACATATCCTGACGATCGTGGCAAAGCTCGTCGTGGCCGTTTGGAAGAGGACCCTCAAACTTGAATTCTGGCGACACCAGACGCGGGTGAAACAGTCTCCGAACGCCAAAAGAAATGGTTAATCAACGAGGAAAAGAAATTGAGGAAGACATCAGCCAAATTCGTGAAACAGGACAGGCGAGACCTCGAGCGATCCCTGTCTGACATGTGGCTACGGGAAGACCAGCGAAGAAAGAAGAGCGAGAGCTTGAAACCAAGCCCTCAAAGCATGCCCTGACATCGTGGTTCATCATCCTCAGTGGCGGAGTGCCCCGTCGACGATCACATCACGTTGCCCCACACCAAGGATGTCCTCCGGAGTGCCCGCAAAATGGAACGCTTTGAGGCCCACATCCTCGAATGGCAGCGAGGCATGGAGGACCACAGAAGTCTGCCTGATTGATTTGACAGATGCGTTATGTGCCATTTCGCGGTCAAGGGTATGGAGCTCAAGAATTGTGCGTCGCCTGGACTTCACAAAGAGGAGGCGCTCGTCCGGACCGCTGCAGGAACCTGACAAAGAGGGTTGGAAGATTCTGAGCAGGAGCAAGCAGTCAGCAGCAGCAGCAAACCAGCAAAGCAAAAAGGTAGCAGCAGCAGCAGCAGCAGCCAACGAGCAAACGAGCAAACGAGCAACAGCAGCAGCAGCAGCACTAGCAGCGGCGGCGGCGGCGGCGGCGGCAGGGGGCAGCAGTGGCAGCAACAGCAAAGACTCGTTTCGGGGGGCTGCGCAGACGAAATTGAAAGAGAGTGGAGACTTATGGTCGAGGGCAGAGAAAGAAAGCACCAAAACAGTGCCCGCCCCGAAAGCCCCAACACAGGCAACGCACAACGACCCCAGCAACAGCAGCCAGCAAAGCAACAGCCGCAGCCTTCACGATTCAAGCAACAGCAGCAGCAGGACGTAGCAACAGCAACAGCAGGCAAACAGCAGCAGGATCAGCAGCAGCAGCTGCAACCAGCAATAACGAGCAGCAGCAGCCAGCAGCAGTAGCAGCAGCAGAAACGAGCAGCAGGAGCAGCAGCAGCAGTAGGAGCAACGAGCAGGAGTAGCAGCAGCAGCAGCAACCAGCGGCAACAAGCAGCAGCAGGAGCAAGCAGCAAGCCTCAAGCAGAAAGCAGCAAGCAGGAGCAGCAGCAGCGCCAGCAGCCAGCAACCAGCCACCAGCAACAAGCAATGGCAGCCTCCAGCAGCAACAGCAGCAGCAGTAGCAGCAACGAGCGGCAGCAGCAATAGCAGCAACCAGCAGCTGTAGCAGCAACCAGCAGCAGTAGCAGCAATCAACAGCAGCAGCAGCAGCAGTAGCAGCAATCAGCAGCAGCAGCAATCAGCAGCAGCAGTAGCAGCAACCAGCAGCAGCAATCAGCAGCAGCAGCAGCAACAACAACAACAACAGCACCACCAGCAGCAGCAGCAGCAGCAACTAGCAATGGGCAGCAGCACTAGCAGCAACCAGCAGCAAGCAGCAAGCAGTAGTAGTAGCAGCAGCAGCAGCAGCAACCACGAACCAGCACCAGCGACAGCAGCAAGCAACAAGCAGCAAGCAGTACAGCTAGCAGCAAGCGGTACGGCGGTACAGCAAGCAGCAAGCAGCAACAAGCAGCAGCAGCCAGCAATAGACCACAGTCGATAAGCCAGATCACTCCTAAATTCTGAGCGGCGCAGGGTGGAGTCGAAGGTCTGCCACCAACTCGAAAACAGCTAATCCGCAAGTAGTGGCCCGTTGTCAGGGTCACATCAAACTCCTGTTTAAAAAGCGTTTACAGTTTTTCTATCGATTGAAAGAAAGTTTAGGCTTTGCATCAAAAAATCAAATTACAGCGTGGAAGCAGCCAAGCAGTGGCAGCAGCACACAAGCAGCAGCACACCAGCACCACCACACAAACAGCACCAGCAAGCAGGAGGATGATGGCTCTGGGCGAGATCCGGGCGAGATCCAGGCGAGGTCCAAAACTGCACACCCCCGACCAAAAACTATGCCAAGCTAGACAGTGGCAGAAAAGCGGTACCAGCAAAGCGCGCGCGCTACCACAAACATCTGGCAGCAACACCCTGCCACGAGCACCTCTTCCTATACTGGAAATAAGAACCCCACTAGCTCTCCCAGTAGCCGTAATCTGTCCAAGCCCACTGGTGTTCCATTGCGAACTGCACTGGCAAGCCTGGAAATGACTGTGTTGCTTTCTGTACTTGTCTCGCATGTATGTGGAAAATTCCTTGTGGACTGCTTGCAGGACCCATTACAAAATAAGAAACTCATTGCTTCAGCAGGCATTATTAACCCCTTATCGGTTGCCAGTACAGCGTTAAAACACCAACCTAAAAGTAGGTCCCTTTCCAACCAACAGAGTTTGCTTGTGCTTGGGAAAAAGAGACGACTTTCCGCAGAGCCTTCCCCCAAGGCAAGGTAGCAATCCCTAAAAAAAAGTGACGACATTGTCTTTTGCCTGTATGAGGTTTGGGCGGACCCGCTGCTCATGGGGCGGCTGAGTTCGGCCATCGGCCACCTGATTCAAAGCCTGATGTCCCCGTGGGCCAGATGTACATCGATGACATTCTCCTCTTGCTCAGAGGCCCGAAGAGCGAGAAAGAGCAAGTGCTGTCGTTGGTCCTGTAAATGGGCCTTTGCATTAGCCTGGAGAAGGGAGAGCGCGGCGCGCGAGTGGTGTGGCACGCAGATCGAAGTCCATGAGAACACCGGCAGGGGGAGGCACATCAGCTTCCGAGTGCCTCCCAAGATGCCACGATAGCACCTCGAGGGATCGCCGACAGGATGGCCAAGTTATTGCCTGGATCGCGGAAGTGATGGATGACTCCTGCCCAAACATCATCTGAAACCTGAAAGTGCGTCAGGGCGTCCGGTATCACGCGTATGTCAGCCAGGCCATGCCACCCGCGACTCACGAATCGCCCAAACACATTTTCTACCGCCGCACTTAGGGTGGTGGTGGGTGGGTGGTTGAGCCAAAATGGTCACACCCACCACCACCCATCAACTTTAATTCTCAACCTGTCTGGCAAAGGGTTTGCTCAATAAACGACTTGGGCCTACCAGCCCTATCAATGGGCTTGGTGGCTGTCCATATTTATTTGACATCACATGGGCAGTCTGCATCACAATGCGAATACAAAGCAGCAAATGCGTTGAGGACATATTCTAGCCTTGCTTGCTTGAGCTTTGGGTTTCTCGGGCATCCCTTTTTCAGCTTCAGGGCCAAATCTCACAGCGGGCCTGGATGACCGTCCGGAAGCCTCCCTTCAGAGCCTTGAGGCAAAGGCTACAGGAATCATATCAAACTTACACAGGAACGGATCTCGATGTGGCTTGGCAATACAATGACAGAATCAGAATACCTGCATTAGTTGTGCTTGGCATCGGGCTCGCTCATTCTTTGCCACCCCTTTGTCTTCTTCAGGCTTCACTTTGCCCTCCCAAATTCAGTCAAAAATGCAACGATGAGTCCAAGCTTGAGTTAAAAGGCATGGCAGCAAGCAACTGAGCACCTTCCCTTTAGCCTTTGGCTTTGCAGTTGCCATGGGAGAAGTCGGGCCCGTCTACCCCAACACTACATTACAATGGCAATAACATCGAACAAAAGATTCTCCAACGAGTTCTGGCAGCAACCCTGGCAACCAGGTTTGGCCTCCAGACTCCAGACGATAAATGCAGTTCAGTTCAAGTGCAGTAAACCTGACACTCCTACATAACACTTTGATATTCCTTCCTCAAAGCGTGCTATATAAAACATGTCATGGCCTCTCATTCAATCTTGAAGATTCAGCTTGGGCCGCTGTACCGAGTCAAAAACATCTATGGAAAGTGGCACAGTATCTGACAGAACATAATAGAAGCGATTGAAATGCACCCGCCTTCCTGCAGAGGTAAATATTAAAGGGAAAAGAAAGGGCCAACGGGCTATGCAGCTTGTGTGCATTGCATGTCCCACAGCATCCAATGAAGTTTTGGAGTTTTAGAATTCGATGGTGAAAACGGTGAAAACCGTCCTCATGTTGGCTCTTCAGTAAGCGCAAACGCAGGACCTTGACTTGCAGTTTGTCGGTGTACACAGGTGTTACTACAATGGAAACAGCGCACCTCGTTGGACACATTTGTAATCTCTTCATGATGGACTATGGCCTGTGGGACCTGGAGGAATAAATGAATAATTCAAATTCAATTCTTCGGGCCTTGGGTTGAGCCTCAACGGTGGAATCTGAAGCACCTCTGCACAACTTGTGAGCGCAAACTCACTCTCAATCCAAGGTCCACTGCTTACTCCTGTAAAGCACGGCTAAGGCGCATGCCAGCACTAGGAGCGGTCTCAGGTGGATAACTGCAAGCAAAAAAACTGTGCAAATTGTTTGTCAATCGCAATACTGCTCTTGCTTCAATAGAAGCTGGTCCAGCCTCCCCGCCCCTTCGTCTGCAGGAACAGCTTGACAAGGGTTGGTCACCTTCACCTGGGCCTCTACGTGGGGATAGCCTTGCTGTGCTTTGTGTCCGCAGCTAGGCTCTGGAGAATCGCTTGCACCATCCTTCAGGTCAGACAGTGACGCCGCCTAGCAGCAACTTCTACTTTTCCATGTCAATTGGAGCAGCTGACACCTGCTAAGCTGTCGGCGTCACGGCACGCTGACTGCAACCGCCGCTGGATTTCTGCCACTCGCCTTCTATGGAAGGAAGAGAATCAAAGAAAAAAGAAGTCTTTATTTGGGGGGCACTCAGACTGAGCTGACCATAGTTGATCCCAGCCTTAGTCTCACTGATGGCCGCCAGCGGTAGCTAAAAGTTTGAAAAACCAATCGAGTTGAAAACCTGGGTTCCTTCAAAGTTGAACACACGTCACTCAGGACTAGTTTAATTGGTCAGTGGCGGCTGGTAGGCTTGAGCACAGCAAGATCACGGCGCGACAAAAGTCGCAGAGATATATCAATCTCTCTTGGCGCCTCACCGCCTCTTTCAGCACACTGCTCTGCACCTGCAAGGCAAAGAAATAGTAGTGCACTCTAGTCCAAATACCATGTAAGAATATATAAATATATATATATACAAATATAACATCTTCAACGGTTCCATGATGTTCCATGCCTATCTTGCTTAGCTGCTTTTGGCTTGTCTGTGGGCTAACCCATGCAACCCATTGACATGCCAACCTCCATCCCGCGTCAAAAGCTACTTCGGGCTTGATCAGTGCTTCTGTCCACTTGTTTTCCGCCCTCTCTGTCTGCCCCAGCACATCCATGTCTTTCCTAGAGGGGCTGTACTGCCTCCCAAGATGCACAGTGTATCCACTATGCACTATCAAAGCGCCCGCATCCAGCCCTTTACTGTCTATATAAGTGTGCACTCCAACGCACAGCGGCGTGAAACAAAAGGTGCATGGTGTCCCGCCTTCCATTGACTGCAGCTTGCATGTTTTGAATTCTTGAGCCATCTCATCTGCCAGCGCAGCCGATAACCTCCTCTGTTTTCAGCCTCGACGCTACTCTTTGGAAAGAAATTATACAATGTCTCCAAGACCATAGATGTCTCTTAAGGGCAATTTCGCACCATAGGCCGTCCTCATGTTACTTGCGTTGCAACTTAACTGAGCCACTGTGGGAATCTTGGGAATACTGTTTTGGTTTGTTTCTTTTCTTAGCAGGGGGCAATTGGTTCTGGAGTGCGCAGTGCCGAACGAAGACCGCACTCTCAAAACGTGATATTCCCGAGAGACACCTCATGTACCTGGTATCAGTGAATGTTGAAACAAAGTCGTCAGCCAAAGAACTGTTGAACCACAGGCTGCTTCCTTTGCCTCGTGCAATCTTGCCTTTGAGACGTTGACGTTTGCTTCATGGAACTTGTGAGCCCTTGCCTGGCCTTGATCGTTTTACGTTAACGGGCGGGCGGGCGGGAGCGGGCGGGGGCGGGCGGGGCGGGCGGGTGTGTGTGCGTGCATGGCGCGGGTGGAACCAGCAAAGCACAGCAAAAAACAAGCGCATTGCAATCGAGTTTGCTGTTCATGAGTCGGATACGTCAAGCAGCAAAGGAGGAAAACAAACGTGGGCTAGCATGTAGTGCAACACATTATATCATACATGAGTCACGAATTGGTACCTGGGTCATGAAGATGGCCAAAACTGCGGTGCGGTCAGCACATCGCTTTTGAACGTCTGAATTGCTCACGGTTTGGTCGGTCGTCTGGTGTTTTTCTCTGATTTTTGCCGAAAGCACGGCGAAGGGTTTCTTCCAAAGGACATCTGTTCACATCATCTTCCAACATAATCTTTATCATCATCGCTATTATCACATCATCATCATCGTCATCATCATCATCATCATCAACGTCATCATACATCAGACATCATACATCATACATCATGACATAACATGTGGGTTTTGCACATGTGGGCTTTGCAGGTGTAGAGATACAGGTGTAGATGTGTAGGTGTTGAAACACCTCAATCACCTACTAAATTTGCAGGTGTAGAGATACAGGTGTAAATATTAAGATGTTGAACACCTGCCAAAACACCTACTAAATCTCACCTACGAAAACACTTCTTTATAATAAGCTTCTTTCTACTCTTAAGGCGGCGCGCAGGTCCGGCCGGAGCTCGCGAAACGCGACCCTCTGCGAGGATCGTGCGTGTGGAGCGCTCAAACGTGTGGTGAAACGTCGATCGCGTTTGACCCCGAGCGACCCTCTGCGGTGATTGCGCGCGTCGAGCGCTCAAACGTGTAGTGTATTGCGAATTTTGAGTGGGCGCGGGTGACCCTCTGCGAGGATCGCGCGTGTGGAGCGCTCAAACGTGTGGTCAAAACGTCGACCGCGTTTGTGCCCGAGCAACCCTCTGCGGGGATGGCGTGCATCCACGCGTGACTTTTGGAGGAAGTCTCGACGAAACGCTCGTTTTGGGGATTTAGAGGATTTAGAGGACGTCTCGTACGAAACGCTCGTTTTGGAGACGAAGCGCAACGCACTTTCCACCAGGGCCGTGCAAATCCGCATGGCACAGCGACACTACGGACGTAATTTCCGGACACCGCGTGTCACAGGCTAAAAGCAAACGTGTCACATAATACCACCAATCATCCCGCTCACCAGCGACACGCCGCGTTTACACCAGCATGTTTCGCGCTCCCCAGTGGCACGGCGCCACGCAAACCCACTTTCCACCAAGGCCGCGCAAATCCGCATGGCAGCGCGACATCACGAACGTAATTTCGCCACACGGTCTGTCACGGACTAGCAGCAAACATATCACATGATACCGCCAATCATCCCGCTCACCAGCGACACGCCGCGTTTACACCAGCATGTTTCGCGGGTGTCCTAAACCGCTCCTGGCACACCGCGCAAAACCCTCTTTTTTGCGCGCCGTGGCTCAAACATCGGTGCACCTCCTTTGCTCGTTCCGAGCTCTGGGGGAGGGAGGGTGGGACTCTAAAACCCTGAGGCCTATGAACCAAAAGGTGAGACCAGCAGCGATCGAAGAAAACCCCGCACACGCAAGCTAAATGCCAAAAGTTTCCTAAACCGCTCCTGGCACACCGCGCAAAACCCTCTTTTTTGCGCGCCGTGGCTCAAACATCGGTGCACCTACTTTGCTCGTTCCGAGCTCCTCCCCCCGCCACATTCGTGACCGGGCGCGAAACGCGCCGCGGTCACAAGCAAAGGAGGCGGACAAAGCTAATTGGGGGTGAGATCTGCGTCAATCATCTTCTGAGCGACACCCTTAGCCGCTTCCCTTGCCTCCCAAATATAGGTTTGGAAGCTGTCACTAGCCCAGCGCCCCCATCTCTTTACGAGCGCTGTGTCTTGGTACTGGGCCCAAAGAGCACTTGCGCCGCCGAACCGCAAGGAATGCGTTCCCAAATCTCCTCCAGGCAGGTTCAAGGCCTTTGCCGCTCTTTCGATCAACGCTTGAATGGCGGCACGTGGGATAGGCTTCTCATCAGAAGCTCGAAAGAGAAGCTCTTCTGTCTCAGCGCCACCTTGATAGCGTTGCGGGAAGTGTTGATACAGGGTGATCATGGCTTTAACAGCGCAGACCTTTCCCGAAGTCTTAAAATGATTCCTCATCTGTCCCCGGTTGTAGATGTCTGTCTTCGACCCCCTCACCAGGAGCGTGACTTCGTCCGCCTCAACAATCCTTCCCAATTCCAACGCCTTTCCATTCAACTTGAGGGTTACATCACTCCCTCTGAGTCCTCGTTTGGGATCCTGATACCCCACGTCCAGGTACTCTGAGGCTCGGAGTAAGAAGAAAAAGCCCAGAGCCAGGGCCTTGCAAAGGAGGCTAGCTTCTTGGTTCTTACCGTATTGCAGGTGGTTTCCGAGCCACTTCAGCATGTCTGGCGTGACGGGCGTCCTTCTCTCCCTCGTTCCAAACCTTCGCTTGAGGCCTGCCAATGCTAGTGGGACCCTTGGCATGTGAGCGAGTGGCTCTGGGTAACCTAAAGTGAGGTGCATGGAACGGATTGCCGAGAGTCGGAGCTTAATCGTTCCGGGTGCCTTGGCTTCATTGGTTGCACAATGGACTAGGTAATCCAGGACGAGCTGCTCCTCCGTCCTGTTGTAGGCGGGAACGTGTCGAATGGGGTCCTCGCCTCTTCTTTTACAAAAGAGGGCCCACCAGCCCCATTGGGACTGATAGCTGGCTGCTGTGCTCTGGGAGTATCGTGACAACAACAGAGCAAAGCCCTCCTGGTCAAACTCATGACTTCCTTGAGTGGAGGCCAAGCTGAAGGATCTTTCCGCCGGGTGTCGCCGCGCCGCGGCACATGGGCCCCCGAGGAAAGGCGTCTCAGCGTTGGCCGGGAGTTGTTTCCCTTTCTTCTGCAAGTTAAAGCGAACCTTTCTTCGAGTCCCTCCAACTCTTCGGGCCGTATCTGGTCGTTTGGTTTTCTCAGCTACGGCTCCTTGCCACCAACTGGCTAGGCCTTCTTGGATGGTGGACCAATGGGTTCGGCTTGCCCGCCGCAAACCAAGGAGCAACATAAGCAACAGCAGGTCGAGAAAGGGAGTGCTGTCAATCGATTGCGCGTAAGGGGGGTGCTCGGAACCTGGGGGAACTCCTCCATGGATTTCCACCCCTAAGGATTTTTCTGCCTAATGGGGGTTGGGAATTGAATGGGGGTTGG